CCCCAAAACCCCAAAACCCCAAAACCCCAAAACCCCAAAACCCCGAATAAAATATAATATAATTATATGGAGATGGACTCAACTCCGAAAACAAAAAGAAGCTGTGAAAGCTTACATTTCAACGCAAAGCTTGAAGAACAAACAGTTGAGGATTTTAAACAAGAGATTGACTATATTGGGTTAGACCCAATTAAGATCAAGACAATTAATGCCCAGCAGATGTTTAACCTCTATCAGATTTTCCCTAAGGTCTTTGTGTGAGATATGAGGAGTGAGGAGCATTACCAAAACTGCCACTTTAAATCATCCATAAACATTTCACTAGAAAAGGCAATGAAAGATGACTTCATTAATTTCGATGCTAAAGAGTTCATGTCTAAATTCATCGTCAAGGACGAGAACAAAGAGAAGTTCAAGAACAGAAAAAGATCGGTCGTAGTCATCGTAGCACACAGAGTCTGCTCTGTTGAGATCTTCAAAAATCTACATCAGCTTTATGATCATGATAAAGTTGAAGAAATGAAAAAAAAATATTCCTCACAGGACATCCTTGCTACGAAAAATTCTATCTTACTTTACAAAGCTTTCAAGCAGGAGAAGACCCGAGAAGTGTATATCTGTCGGAATAGTTTCAATGCTATCCAAGGGAAGTACCCCTTCATGTGCAAGTTCAAGGGACATAGTATTTACATGGATCCAAAGAAATGTAATGGTTACCCTAGCGAAATTATCGATAGAAGACTTTATCTTGGAGATGCAACCCATGCGAAAAATCCTACAATAATGTACAACTTGGGTATCACTCATATCCTGAATGTGTCGACCAACATTCCGAATACTTTTGAGGATTCGAAAGGTATGAACATTAACTATTGAAAAATAAATTTGGAAGATACGGAGGATGCACCGCTGGATAACCATCTGTTCAAAACAGCATTTGAGTTTATTGAGACAGCAATCTCCAAGAAGAAGACTCATAAAATGAAACTCTACAGCACAAAATTCGACCTTGTGCAGAACTTCTCTGATTTCAGGAAGAAGTCGATGATCCTAGTCAACTCAGCAGCCGAGATCAATGATATAGAGCTCGATTTGGGCCAGATGAAAGTTAGTGAAGTTTTGAATAAAACATTTGATAAACTTTTTGACATTGATTCTCTATGCCAAGTCCAAATGCATCATAGTAACAACCAGAATAGAGTCCTTGTTCACTGTGCGATGGGCAGATCAAGATCTGCCTCCATGGTGATCATGTATCTAATGAGAAAGTTCCAAATCTCATTTGAAACCTCTTTTAATATAGTTAAATTGAGAAGAGAGATCATAGACCCCAACGAAGGGTTTATTGCCAAGCTCAAAGCTTTCGACGGTAAGCAATACAAGCTCAGAAGAGGCCACTCAGTTGAGTTAAAGATTCAAGAGTCAAATGAAGAAGATGTATATTCACAAGCGAGTGAAACTTCATCAGACTCTTCAGAAGAGGATCTTTTAGAAAAAGATCACGTTTTCTATTCAGAGGTCAAAATAAGCCCTATTTTAATTTAGGTATATCAAATTTAAATTTGTAATTTTGTTTCAGAATCAACATAAAATTTACCATTAATCCTCTCAAGGTCATAGGTAAAATAGAAGTCTATACAAGCTAAATAAGAATTCCATTGCTTAGAAAAATCTTTTTGTTAAAGATTTTGGGTAGCTTTGGTATTTTTCTCTCTTTTCTAGAGGCTATCGAAATCTTGCATCCTCTCCAACTTTATTGGATTATTACCTGGAGACTGTCTTGGTTAACTACGATCATAAATAACTTGCCATTATCAAGAACAACTTTGGCTTCAGAGTGTACTTTAATCTAGTAATCGACTAGTATCACCACCTTATCTTTTCAAGACCATCTAAGTCTACATAACTCCCCATACATTTCTGTCTCTTCCTGCTCCCTCTGAGTATCTCCTCTACCCCAAATAAAATTTTCTATCCTCCTAACACCCCTCCCTTCACAAGAGTAAGACCCACTCCCCCTACAATCCCCCTAATTTCTTCAACTCCTCGATCCCTACAAAACCTGCACCTACTACCAATTCTCCCCCTAAAACCTCCAAATCCTCTCAAAACCTCACAAACTAGTAGCCCAAAAGTTCAGATTTTAAGCACAAAAATTCAATCAATAGCTTAAAGCAGCCTAACCATATTTTGCCAATTTTTAGACAGTATAAATATAGAGGATATATTGCACTTTCAATACATGCAAGAGACATGGGGTTTTGGGGTTTTGGGGTTTTGGGGTTTTGGGATTTTGGGGTTTTGGGG